AATTTATAAATTATTATTTTGTCATATCTTGCCCTGTCCGACGTCTCCCTTCACCCACTTGTCAGAATAGGAAGAGCACATGGAACATGTGCTATAAACTGCCTTCATTAAGAGCTGGATTGAGAACCTTAGGGAGCAATGGGTTTCTGTTAATGGCGCAGGGGGCTAACTCGGGAAAGGCAAAAGGCGGGAACGGTTGAACAGCTTGAAGAAGGCAATCTGAGTCACTGAGCTGTACATGTAGAGATGGTCGAATTGGTCTCTTTTGCTATGTGTAGTCTCAACAGCGACAGCAAAATAAAAATTTTAAAACCAACTAGAATTCTATACCTAACCAAACTAGAATTCAAGTGTAAAAGTGAAATAAAGCGATTTTCAGACAGAATGGATGGGGAATCAGTCATGGTGATATAAAAGAAGGTCCTCTAAACATTGTAAAACAAATGACAGGAGTTGAGAGAGACAGGAAAGGGAAGAAACATGAAGAGAAAGATAGAATGGTTGGTGAGAGATAGGATCTATTAAAAAAATAAAGATGCAAGCGGTGACTTAGAAATCACCAAGGAACCAAAAATGATGATAGAATTCTATCTGAAGGGATAGTAGTGTGGATGAGCTAACTTCTCATTTCTCACAGCAGGGACATGACTTAACAAAAAGAGAAAAATCCCATTACCATCAAGTTAGTCCCTACTCACGTGTGTCAGAGTAGAACTGTGCATCATAGGATTTTCAGTGGCTGATTTTTTAGAATTTAATTGCCAGGCCTTTCTTCCAATACACCTCTGGGTGAACTCAGCAGCAGCAGAACATGTTAGTCCTTCCTACCACCAAGGGACCCAAGGGACATGATAAAGTTGCTAAATCAGACAGCATTGTAAAGTTGATTATGGCAGAAGTAGTTAGGTTAAAATATAACACCTTTTCATTTGATTTCCCTTTTGACCCATTTTAAAGGCGTTTCAGAGTCCTAGTGGCATAGTGGTTACTTGTTGGACTGCTAGCCTGAGATCAGCAGTTCGAAACCACCATACACTCCTCGGGAGAAAGACAAAACTTTCTACTCCTGTAAAGAGTTACAGACTTGGAAACTCACAGGGGGCAGTTCTACACTGTCTTATAGGGTCATTATGAGTCAGAATTGATTCGATGGCAGTGAGTTAAAGGTGTTTCAGGTTTTGTTTTGGTTTTTTTTCGGTTTCTCATTTTTGTTTTGTATGATATTTTTGTATATGAAATATAGGATAGGTAAATCTATAGAGGCAATAACTGGATTAAAAATTACCTAGAGGCATGGCAGGGGAGGTTTGGGGAAAATGAGGAACTAACAACAAGTAGGCAAAAGAAGTAAACGTTTTGAAATGGACTGTGATGATGATTGTACAACTCTCCATAATATGACTGAACTATTAAATTGTATGATATGTGGATCATATGCCAATAAAACTATTAAAAGAAAAAAAAAGATGGTGGCACAGCAACAAATTCACAGGCATATAAGAGATAACTAACAGAGAGTCACATAAGATGGGATTTTATTTTTCTCTCATTTGACAATCATTCCAAAGATAGGCAGGCAGGGCTCACTTGAGCAGTAACCGGAAAGGAGGAAGTGAAAGAGCAAGAAGTACCTTCTCTGAGAAGCAGAGCAGTTCTCAAAGTCTCACCAGCAAACTTTCCTTAAAGTTCATTGCCCAGCCCATCTTATATGGGCTTTGTATAAGGAATGCTGGGAAATGTAGTTTTCAAAAGCTAGTTATACAGCTGACACTGCTAAAATTTGGGTGCCATTTATAAAAAACAAAAAAAGAATAAGCCCTGGTGGCACAGAGGTTAGTGGTTCAAACTCACCAGCCACTCTTCAGCAGAAAGATGCAGCAGTCTTTACAGCCTTGCAAATCCTTTTCTTATAGGATCACTATGAGTAATGAACTCAATGACAACAGGTTATAAGAAAATATATGTTGGATAGGCAAATGGCTATCTCGCCACAAGTGATATAAACATTAGACATTTTATTTGGAAAGATAGAAACAATTTCCAGAATACGTATGTGTGTGTGGGGGGGGGCTTCATTATCCTTTAATTCTGTTTTTCCATGAATTTTTGAACTCTCTTCATGTATGTGTGTGTATGTATGTATATATTATAATACATATTATCATTGCCATAGAGCCAATTTAGCCTCATGGCAACCCCGAAGGACAAAATGGAACTGCTACTTAAAAATTTCTGAGAAAAAAAAATTTCTGAGACTGTGAGTCTTTATGGGAGAAGACAGCTTCAACTTTTTCTGGTGGAGCACCTGGTGGGATTTGAACTGAAAGCCTTGCAGTTAGCAGCCCAACATGTAACCCACTACACTACTAAGTCAGTATCTGTCTGTCTGTCTGTCTATCTATCTATCTATCTATATATCTGTCTAACATCTACATATGCTCTAGTTCAGGTCTACAGCCATGCCCTGATCATAGAAACATGTTTAAATATGTTTTGTTTAGAATAGTCCGGTACATATAACCTCTCACTTGGCTTAGTCTTCTTAGGTGTCTTCAGCAGGATAAAGGATACCTTTTGCATCATGGGGGGGGGGGATGATTTTCAGACACAATCCTGACAGAAGAAAGAAAAGAACTGATTTTGAGGTCAAGATTAATATCAAAATTTTAACAAAACTTAAGTAGACATTTTCCCAAGTTATTGAAGATATGCAACAAGTTTATGAGAATACTGCCACCCTCTCCCCCCCCCAAAGTTTTTAGGTGGATCAAGTGTTTTAAGTAAAGTGGGGAAGATGGCAAAATGAACCAAGAGAGGGATAACGGTCCAGCTCAACAAATGCAGCAGCTGCTGGGGCGGAAGTCTGGATAGTGGTGGAAGAAGACTGCAGAATCACCGTCACATGATCCCGACTGGAGTTGGGCTCTCATGTTTCAATTTTCAGCAAACTTCTTGGTCTCAGCCAACTTTCAACTCCATGGGGTGCCAAGAGCTTTGCGTGAAGATCAGCTAGCTTTTTTTTGTTTCCTTTGAGTCCCTTGAAGATGTGAAAACTGACATTTTGACATACTATAAGTTAGGTACAGAATTTGGGGGTAAGGATGAGATAGAAACACTGCCTTCAGAAACATGTAGTCCTAAGTGGGGGATCTGTCAAGAAACACTAGCTTCACAGTTTTTAATTGTCATTTAATACAGGTGTCTGTGGGTTTGTAGCAATACTTTTTGATTTACCCTCATTACCTATTTATCTATAAAGTTAAAAAGTCATTTGTCTCTGGAGATGAGATTTTGTTGGGGCAAGAGGCTTTTGTTTTTCGTTAGAACCCTGCTCCATTTTGTTGCTGCTGTTGTTGTTGACCTTGTTGGGATAGGTAGGGGGGCTTCAGCTCACACTCATCTTGGGGACTGAGTTTCAGGTTGTTTTCTCTCTCTAAATAGGGAAACCGAAAAGCGTTGTGTTTTGGACACCAGAAATTTAACCTTCATGAGATGGGAAAGGAATTTGAGCCCAAAGCTGCTAATCCAGTTCCTGGCTCCCTGGACATATGTTTGATCACAGATATGCCATTAGAAAAAATGGTCTGGCACCTCAAGGTAAGCTAAGCTTCCATTCTATTTGAGAAAGCTACTGGAGATGAGATCCCTGGTAGTGTAGTTGGGCTGCTAACCTCAAGACCAGCAGTTTGAAACCCCTAGCTGCTCCATGGAAGAAAGATGAGGCTTTCTACTCCTGTAAAGCGTTACAGTCTTGGAAAGCCACAGGGGCAGTTCCACCCTGTCTTATAGAATCGACTCGCTGGCGGTGAGTTTGAGTGCAGATGGAGTGAGAACAGAAACATGGTCCAGGAAGGTCTTCCTCCAACTTCAGATTTAACATGTTTCTTACATCATCAGAACAAAAAATCCTATCATTGTGAATGAGGGGGGGGAATGCAGAGTGGAGACCCACAGCCCATTTGTAGGCCACTGGACATCCCCTACTGAAGGGTCTCAGGAAGGCGATGAGCCAGTCAGGGTGCGATGTAGCAACGATGAAACATACAACTTTCCTCTAGTTCCTAAATGCTTCCT